TAATGAAATAATTTTAAATTACACAGTAACAATGCAAATACTTGTTTTCGCATGGCAAACAAATATGGCACGCTCGTGCCCCGTGACGATCGAGTCCGTTAAGTTGCAGGTTAAAAATTACACAGTACACCAGTGAACGCTTAAAACGATTCATCTTTCGCAAACCTGCTCCTTCTTAAAAGTTAATTACGGCGCTGCATTCTGGCGAAATGCCGTACTCTAAAAAGTAATACGTAGGCACCATTACAGAGGGAGGAGGGGGTAAATGCATCTTGTTTAAGGAAAGGGGGAAGTAGGGGGAAAAGGGGGTGAGATCTCTTGACCGGAAATGCCCGAAATGCGGAAGTGTGACAACGGGACGGAAGGGGAGCGCGGAGGCTTCCGGTCCGACACTCTCTAAACAACAACAACAACAAATAGTATTATTCATCTTTTTTAACGTTATTACTCGTGAGGCTTTAAAACTCGTTGTTTTCGGACGAGTTCTCCTCGGTGGGTTGAAGCGCCACCGTGCTGACGGGCGACGGAAGGGTGAAGGGATCTGTGTTGCGTCGTTTCATCTTGCCCTTCATCTTCTTCAGCATGGTCGCCTGCACAGAAATGGACACGCACTTTGGTCACCACCAGTACATCATTTTCCGCCGCTTGGTCTTGGCTCTCTTCTTCAGCATGGTCGCCTGCGCACAAAAAACAGACGCGTCATTCAAATGGGCCCGTGGTCGCACCCCAGCGAGAACCTCCGCCCGCGGACGCCCCGTGAGCCTCGCTGCCCAAGTGGTACCAGTCCGGAAGAAGGTCGCCGGGTCGAATTTTGAAAATAACGACACCGTGGTAGGGTAGAATTTGGAGGTATTCCACTTGGACATGATTCGTCACTGGCGAGATGAAGATTCTCATTGGGGTTGAAGAGGTAGAGGAAGACAGGGGGATGGGTAGGAACAGTTGAGTATACACTATTAGAAAGAATGCCGCAATTTCACGACCTTTGCATACATCATAACGATCGTTACAGTATGAAGATTTGCGCAGGCGTGATCGGCGCTGCCGTTTGAGTTAAAATGCATTTCGTGAAATTGCGACTCAGTTCACGTAAAGTGTAAAGAGCAGCACAGACCACCCAACTCCCCACTGCCCGGCTCCCTACCCCTACCAAGGGTTTTCTACAGAGGCATGTACAAGCAGTTTACCGACTTTACTTTTACATTGTGCGCAGGCGACCGAGCTGCAAGAGATTCAAACCCAATCTACGGTACACTATAAGGCAAGTTTCTGTTTTAAGACATGGTACTAATATTCGCAAGTTTCTGCCAAGTAGGGAAACTATAAAGTGGTTTTTAAATAGTAAGGTTTACTGCGAAGTTTGCTGCGTTTGCTCGGACGGCGTCTCTATATTGGGACAAGGAGAAGCTTGCCGAAACGAACTCTATTGTGTTTCGGCACGGACTACTACTCCAGGTATTCCAGAATACTAATGCAAACGACCTGATGCATCTACTTGGTTTTCGAAGTACGACGTGGAAACAAAACAGTCCATTACCATTACTTACTCAGCGGCTAGAGCCGCAATCATGTAACCCGATGTGTGTTCTCAGAGCGGTTAGTTTAGCTGCTGGAAAGATTTAGACATCCGAGAGGATTAACTGGTTAAATTGTGATTACACCGTCTTCTCCAGGGCGCTAGCTGAGGATTAGAGGTTTCTGAAGTTTCCGTTAGATTTTAGCACGTTTTAAGCCGTGTCCGGACCCACAAATCAACGACACCTTTCTCTCCCATATTGAAACAGAACATTCTTACAAGTGTCGTGCCTCAGCCGTCGTCAGAAGACGCGCTTAGAGACCCCAGATTACTTTTCACTCATTTCTAGTAGAGTCCGGCCCTCGCACCGTAACGATCCCTTCCTCCCCGCGGTGCTGCGGCGTGGCTGCGCGAGGCGCGCGCGCCGTCTCACCTTGAGAGCGGACTTGAGCACGACGATATCACCGGGACTCTGCACCCAGGGCTCGCCGTCCACCTGCACTGGGATGTCGGAGTTGAGGTGAATCTTGATGTGGCCACCCTGCGCAAAAGGCGAGAGAAGAATGCATATAACAGTGGGGGAGACGTGTGTTGCTGTTTCTAATTCACAGTCCCTGCCGCGCCGCCCAACAGAGCGGAGCTGAGGTCGAGCGGAGGGGTGGGGCGGAGCGCCTGCCGCTTAGGCAGACCCGTGGCGCACTTGTGTCGGGCGGGCGTGCCTACCCCGTGGTCCCGCAGGCGCTTGGCCCGCCCTCACCTGGCCCTCAGGGCGTCCTCACCGCCGTGCTCGCCGGCCCACGGCTCAGACCCAGGGCCCTCACCGCTAGGCGCTCATTTGGCGCTCAGGGGTTGTCCACGTTACACGTAACGTTATACGTAACGTTACACGTAACGTTACAAGTAACGTTACACGTAACGTTACACGTAACGTTATACGTAACGTTACATGTAATGTTACACGTAACGTTACACGTACCGTCACACGTAACGTCACACGTAACGCCACACGTAACGCCACACGTAATGCCACTCGTAACGTCACCCGACTCACCTGCGCTATCCTCATGGCGGACCTCAGCCCGGACTGTATCTGCCCCAGGTGCACCACGCCCGTCACTCCCACCACCTCGAGCATGCCGTCCCAGTGGTTGGGCTTGGAGAAGTGGTCTTCCTTTTCCGGCCCGCCCCACGGATTGGCGCCAGAGCCCCAGCTGGAAAGAACGAGGGAGCCGTTTAGTGAGGCAAGTGTCGTCTGCTTGCGAGTACTTGTGCGAGGTGATGCGTTCCACCGCACCTCAGGATGTTGAGGATGATGATGCCCTCCACCTGCGGCAGCTCCACGTGCTTGCCGTCCACCTCGAGGCGCACCTCCCGGTGCAGGTCCTTGCACACCTTCCGGCCCACCAGCTTCCGCAGCGACATCTTCACGTACACGCCCTTGTTGTGAAGCCGGCTGTTGAACTTGTTGGGGTTCTCCTCGCGCGCGTTGTGGAAGTCGAGGCAGAGGTCCGCGTCGATGCCGATGCCGAAGTAGTTGTTCATGACGAAGATCTGCGTGTTGTCCTCGCTGGTGGAGCCGCCCGTCGGCTGGACGCTCGGCACCCGGCACTTGACCGCCGGCCCCGTCGAGTTGGCGTTGCTCTTCTCGTCCCCCTTGTCCTCCGGGTGGAACACGACCGTCCAGCGGTCGAGCCGGATCTCCTCCGCGTCGATGACGTCCCGGAGCAGGTTGAGCGGGTCCTCGCCGCCCGTGTAGCCCGACCCCCACCGCAGCACCCGGGCCAGGTCGTTGCCCGTCCCGAGCGGCACGATGGCGCAGGCCGGTGAGGAGCACTCCGAGTCCTGCCCGACGTTGTCGAGGCACTGCAGCACCCACCCGATGGTCCCGTCACCCCCGCATACTAAAATCTTGTAATTGCGAATGTGCCGGAACACATAAAGCCTGGCGAGGAAACAAAATTAACCGTGAGTCGGGGCACAAAACATAGTGCCTGGGGTCTGGGGTGTTATTAGCACAACACAGTTTAGCAACCATAACAAAATGGTAAAAAGTCGCGTTGAAATCAGCAAAATGTAGGACACCATTATCGCCACCCCGGCTTAAGACATACCCTGGCAGCGGCCCGCCGTTGTCCAGATCGAACACTTGGTAGGGGTTGAGCAGCTTTCGGAAGCTGGAGATGAGCTCCAGGCCCTGGCAGCCTCCAGACTTTACATTGACGAACACTAAGAGCGGTTGAACACCGTTCGGCACCATGGTTGGTTCAACATTCGGCAGTAACATAACTGCAACAGGAGAGAGATTCGGTTACACAGAAATAAACGTGTATGATGGGGGAAACGGGGGTGGACAAAATGAGACGAGGCTTACCCAGCAAATGCTTCTCGTCTAAAAAACAGTCCCGTAAAATATACAGCGCTCTCACAGCCTTTAACGCGTCCTCGTACGTGATCACCATGGAACCGTACTCGTAGTAGATGGGGCCGATGCTGGAGAACTTGTTTTCTGCGCCTAGCCGCTCTGTCAAGAGATTCTCGTAGTTGCGCTGCGAGAGGTTGCTAGGCAGATTGCCCACAAATAGTGCTATGTTGGGCCCGTGGGGGTCCTGTTTCTCCTGCAGGTAGAAGCGCATCAGCTCCATCTGACGGATCGACTCTTTGCTGATCTCCTTGACCATATCCCACGGTTTGTCGTGCCCTTCCATCGGCCGGTCCGTTAGCGCTGAGAGGGAGAGAGATAGCCATAAGCTGAGTCATGTAGGCAAAAAATAGGTCATCCCTAGGAATGTATCGGTCCACTTACTTCCTCTCTCCATGACGATCTGGCTGACTCTGTAGTCGTCTGTGTTGGCCTTATCGAGGGCGAAGCGCTCCAACGCCTGCCTGCACAGGTCCATCATGTTGGTCTCAGTGTCCACGGGCACGGAACAGTAGTTGGTCTGCACCTCGACGCGCCCGGGGAACACCCGCACGTCCCCCTTGTCGTTGTCACTGCAAAGGTTCAACATTCCGGTTTACACTTTGCCCTTCAAGCAATCGGGACAGTCATTTCCAGAGCGGAACAGTCCTAAAACACAGACTGCTGGCTGAAACTCACATAAACCTAAGGAAGATGGCCGGCCTCTTCCCCTCCTTCCTGACCAAGTTCTGCACGGGGGTCGGATCCGCCAGCGGCACGTCCTCCGCTCCATAGAGATCCGTCAGGTAAAATTGCGCTGCACCGAGGAGAAATAATCATAAACGTCAGATCAAACGAACAAGAAAGGGGCATGTTGGTTGATGCCGCTTGCAGACGGGTGATCGCGCTGCTTCGCGCTGCACTCACAGATGTCCCTCGTGACGTGGTAGGCCCGCAGCGCCGCCTGCAGCAGCTGTTGGAGGGTCGCGTCCTTCCGCACGGCGATCACCTTGAAGGTCCGCTTGCGCACCGCGCTGTTGCCGTCGTACACCTTGACCACCTCCTCGTCCCGCTCCTCGCGCTCCTTCTCCTTGCTCTTGGGCTCCTTCACCGCCACGTCGTCCGAGTCACGGTGCCGCGCGTCCCCGCTGCTCAGCTCCTCCGAGATGCTGCGAGCTGCGGACCAAAACGTGCGGATGGTCAGCGCCAAAGAAGCTCCTGAACGTTTTACCGTTACTCGTTTTTTTTGGAATTGTGTTAATCGTACTCTCTATGTAACTATGATTCTGATGGTCAAATCGGTACTGCACATTGGACAACGCACGACTGTCTTACCACGGAGCGTTTTGTAGTTTCTTTTCTAACGCAAAAATCTTATTGCAAAGAAATACAAAACGCTAGGCAGAATAAGTTGTGGAGTGGGTAAAAATCGAGAGTTAATTCTCTATATTTTTTAAACATGCAGATCCAGTCTAGAGTGCGGGTATGGACTGTGACTTCTTGGTTATGTATGTGTTGTGCTGGTATTTTTTGTCGCGGTGAGGGAGGTGCTCCAGTGTCGCGCGAAGTGCTCCATCAACCTGCTCTACGAGTAGGGGCGGCACAGCCTCTCCCAGCTCAGGACCAATGTTTGGCTGATTCGACTACAGCGGGCTGTGCCGTGGCTGTACCCCTCAGCCCAACCCTCCGAGCAGATCGCCTCGGCAACCTCCGCTGGCTGTCGGCTCGTCGGCCCGAGTCGGCCCCCGCCCCGTCGGCCCTGGCTGGTGCTGCCCCCCCCCC